ATTAAGTTGACCTGCTTTCGATCCCTGGCACCCCGTATGGTCCCTGAGTACCCTTAGAAGTTATTTCTGAGCACAGAACCAGGATAAGTTCCAGGACTGGTCCCCAAACCAAAACAAATAAAAAGAATTCTAAATATAGAAAAGCTTGAAAAATGTAAATTCTGCACGTCCCCCAAAATCAAACAAATATAGTACTTAAAATCAATACTAATGCAATGGTGATATTCATTTGGTTTCTTTACCTCCCTTGCCTAATTCTGCAATAGAAAGTATAGATTCCTTAGACCTCTAAGTCCCTCTATCTTCTAGCTAGAAGTAATCTAGCTTCTAGCTTCCTAAACCATAATTCATAACCTATTGTGCATATCACGAACAATTTTTGGCAAAAGTAAAAAGTTTCTGAATGTACAACAACCAAAAATAATTTAAAGTGAAGAGCATATCAAACTCAAGCTGTTTCTGATGATGTTTTACCAGATTTCTTTTCTTAGGCTAAAAGAGATCAAGTGTGGAAAAAGTTTTAAAAGTCCTGATCTAACTTGATTGTTCGTTCCACTCCAAAGTGTTGTCCCAAATAAACTTTACTCAGACTTAGAGCATCATAAGTTCTAAGAAATGAAGCCCAGAAATCTTAGTTTTATCAGAAACCTGTTTTATCAAGACCTTTAGGTAATTTTGATGCAGACTAGATTTTTATTTTAAAGCGATGAAAAAGGCATTAAGGACCATACTGCAAACTAGTCTCTTGTTCCCCTGTCAAATATAAAAGAGATTTCCAGAGCCTGATGTTTTAAAGAAAGAATCAATACTTGCTGAATATTTACTAGATGCCAGTTATACTTCTAAGCAATTTATTCCCCAACTGAACCTTATTATAACTTTAAGATGTAGGTGTGATGATCACTATTCCACAGTGGTATGAAGACACAAAGTTTAAGCAAAATCCTAAAGTCACACTGATGGCCACAAATTACATGAAAATATTCCCTGGGTCATTAATTAACACACAAATAAAAACAACAATGGGATATCATCTCATGTGCAAAATCTCCCTGGAAATGCAGGCTTTAATATAAAATTGTATTGCTGGATTAAACAAGGTTAGGGAAGTTCAAGCCTAAGAATCCTGAAACATCCTGCTAGGTTAAGTACAGGCCTAAGCAATAAATGTCCTGTTAAAAACAGTCTAGGCTTCACAGATTAATGGGTGCCATAACACAGCTTAAGAGGAGACTGCTGAAATAAAGAGCAGAACACCCCCAAAGTCTTATTTACCCCATGTCCCCCAGGCCCACAACTGCACTAACAGCCTATGCATTTTTTTTGAGGACTAGCTCATTATGAATGGTGTATATGATGAGAGGGAGGAGGGGAAAATGGAGGTTATACTTAATTAAAAGGCCAAGTAGTCCTTTGGTTAAGATTTATTAGGCTAACTTGCTACTTGGACAAGCTACAACATCTATCTCATTCTTTGTGATATGTTTTTGGAATAGTTGATAATCTAATTGAATAAAACAGTATGTTTGGGGCCAAGTGATAGTCCCACAGATAAGGTGCTTGCCTTGCATGTGGTTGCATCAGGTTTAATTCCTGGGATCCCATATAGTCCCCTGAGCACCCACAGAAGTGATTTCTGAGTACAGAGCCAGGAGTAAACCCTGAGCATTTCCAGGTGTTGTTCTCCCCCCCTCAAAAGAAGTCAAAAACAAAACACTAACAAAACCAAAATAAAAGATTATGTTTTAGGTAATTATGAACTATTATGTTGATAGTCTTGTAAAGCTATCAAAGAAAAGTGGGAAGAAAAGTTTATCTAACTTAATTGACTTCTAACATTCAAGAACTTAACATTTACTTAAAGCTATAACAGATAGAGCATATCGCTTAATTATAAATTCCAGGTTTTAAAGAGTTAAGGCCTAAATTTTGAGTGTGAGAGAAAGTACAGAAAGTAGGACACTTGTCTTGGAAGCAACTACGGATCCCACCTTATCTCCAGAACTGTGCAGTTCCCAAGCACTTACAGGCATAATCCCTGAGCAAAGGATCAAGAATAAGCAATGAGTACCATGAGGTATGGCCCAGAAAAAACATCTAAAAAATAGAAAGAGTAAGGCTAAGCTTCTTGATAAATGCTTGAAAAATTAGGAACCTAAATTTGACCTGAAAATTTTCAGGTAGAGAAATTTTCTTGAGATAAAGATGATTCAAAAAAATAATCTAATAGAGACACTTCTGGACCCCAGGCCAGGCTAAGTCATCTGGGGAACCCTGGAGGGAAACAATTGAGCCTACCACACCCCCACCCTACCAGAGCCCCAGTGAAAGACTCTACACCCCACAATCTCTGCCATGCTCATGGCCGGAATCCATTGCTATGAAAGAGCCTCATCCAGAAATTGATCTGTTGAAAAACCTAGGGATATGTGTTTTTGTGACTAAAATCACCAGGCTCTCATGGAGTTGGGGATGGCTATCTCCCCTCTTATCTCTATTCTTCCAGAAGCCTGGCAGTGAAGCCCATGAACTGTCTCTCTCGGTCAAATAAGCTCATTAACCAACCATGATCCAGAGGCTCATAAATAAATCTCAAAAGAGATCGACGAGTTGCATAGATGTCTCCAGACTCCATGTCAGGCTCTTGTCAGAGTCTGTTATCCAGGGTACCCAAAGTCACCACCCAGTTAAAAGTTTAACTCTAGCAGTATTACCCCATTCACGTTTTGAATTCCTGGAGTGCACAGGCACATTCAGGCCCACATGACATCTCAAACTCTATAACATTTATGAACCAGGAGTAGCACACCACTTTGGCTGGGATGTAAAGTAGAAGACAGCCAATCTCGATTAAGAAAATAAAAAAAAGAGGAAGTGGACACGGTGTGTGGCTTTCTCAGGTTCGTTACCCCACAGCTTTCCAGAGTGTTGGATCTTCCTCCAGAAAACTTGATCAAGTCAATATCTGCAGTTCCAATTAAAAGAAAAATAGAGTAAAATGAGGGTCCATGCATCCAGATAGGAAGAAAGAGAGGGGGAAAATTATTAAAGACCCCTACCTCACCAGGGAAATCTGTTTACAAAGATGTCCTTTCAGAAAAGGAACAGTCCTGTTCAGCCACAGGTGTCCAAACAGGTGCCTACGTGAAAGGAGACCCCAGGAGTTCTAGAAGATTACTGAAAGTGGGACTCGGGACTGTATCTTAGAATCTGTGCCAACACAGGGCCTCTCCCCCAACAGGTATGCTGGAGGGAGGGGCATGACCTCCGGGACAGAGGCTCCTCATATGGCCTACAGTTAATTTCCCTTTTTACAATGCATTGGACCCATATTTTAGTCTCCTAGTCTGTAGTCTTAGTGAGGCCACCTCACTAACCCAAACACATTAGGTCAATAATCCACTAGCCTACCCCAGTCAAAACAGTCCAAAAACTCATCAAAATAACAGTGAACACAAGGAACTGTACAAAATCAATCTAAAAGAACATATCACCCAAATCAGTGCTAGAGGCTCCACATAAGTCACACAGAAGCATCAAAGAGGAAGGTAGTGTCCTTGAAGGGGAAAGAGGAGATCACTATAAATTGAGCCCATCCATCCTACCTGGCAGAGAAAAGGGGACAGTGAAAGTGAACTAGAGGGATCCACTGCCATACTACTACAGCATCATGGGGGAATAGCACAGATCCCAACCTTGAGGTGTGGATAAAGAAAGGAGTCCTGAAGTCTGACAGGGAATATACACATACATAATCTCTCTGACAAAGAATTCCAAGAAGAAATTGGGAGGATGTTTAATGAGTTCAAAGAAACAGTAGAAGACATCCAATATAATACAAGAGGCTATGAAAGAAACAGTGAAGCCCTCAACCAATAAAATGCAGGTAGAAATGGGAGCAGAAATAAGAATACTACAAACAGAAGTGTCACTAATAAAGGACTCCAAAAACTCAATGGGTGCCCTCAACAGTAGAATGACAAGAGGCAAAGACAGAATCAATGAGCTTGAAGACACAGCTGTAGAATGCACACAGACAACAATAGAAGATGGAAAAAAAAAGACCTCAAAATAGGATCACAACTCTTATTTTATGTTTTTTATAAAGCTTCCTTTGACAAATATGAAAAATTACAAGGATTATAATTAATAAATACAGAAGGATTATATAATTTCTTATCTTGAATCTTTTAAAGCATAAGAGTAGTCCTAAATTATGACAGCTAGAACAGCAATTAACACAAAATTGGTTGAAAAACTAAGAAATGTGTTACTAAAATGAGAGATGACTTGTAAAACTCATTTTCTAAATAAAACTATAAGAATATTATTTATTTTTTCTCAATTTAGTGCTCTACCTACTAAAGCTCTTTTAGGATTCACTTCATATATTGTGACAATAATTTTGTTCCTAGAATTAGTAGCTACCAGGTCCATACAGTTCAGACCAAAAGCAATCATTTAGCTAACTTAAAACAGCCACCAAATAGCAGTCTTTAAAATATTGTTATATATATATAACATTTAATTTTCTACTAAGATTTATTTGCTACTAAGTTTATACATAAAAAGATAAAAGTTTGACAACTATTGACACAATGTAAATAAAAGTGGTACTAATTTGATATATATTTGCATTGATTTGATGGCAATAATTTGGAGGTCAGTTTGTGCTTTGTTAAAATTAATCTCTCCAGCAACAAAAAGAAAATATATCTTATTTTAATATTCTATCAACTATTATTATAAAAACTATTAAAATAAGACAACTTAGACAACAGTTGGGGGGAATTCAATGACAGAAAAGAAAAGAGTAGAAAATCAGAGAAGATTTTTGTAAGTCGAACAAATAAATTTCTGTGGTAGCTGCTCACACTTAACTTTATTCTGTTTGTTAAATAAAGTGTAGGTGCTATAGAGTTAATTTTGGAGTAGGAGAAAACTTCTGGTTTCTCCTTATATATATTTATTAATGGCCTTCTTTTGGAGAAATATTTTTTTAGGGGAGAGCACACACACAGTCCCCCACAACTACAAATTATTTGGTCGTTTCCCATATTCTTGAAGTTGCAGGGGTTAGCACATTTAGTGCAATGGATAAGCCTCACATTAGGAAAACTACCTTCATGATCATAGAATCTTCTCTGTCAAGTATGTAGAAAATATTTTTAAAACCCATTTACAGGGCTGGAGCGATAGCACAGTGGGTAGGGCGTTCACCTTACAAGCGGCCAATGGCCGACCCGAGTTCGATTCCTCCGCCGCTCTCGGAGAGCCCGGCAAGCTACCGAGAGTATTCGATATGCCAGACACAGTAACAACAAAGTCTCCAATGGAGACGTTACTGGGCCCGCTCGAGCAAATTGACGATCAACAGGAGGGCCTTTACCTTTACCTTTACCTTAAAATGGTGTATCCTAATAAGATAAAAAAAAAAATTAGGGGCCAGAAAGATAGTACAGTGTGTAGGGCATTTGCCTTCCTTCTACCCACCAGACTGACAGCACACCATTATGAACCCCCAATCTCTATCAAGAGAATCCCTGATTACAGAGACAAGAGTGAGCCCTGGGTACAGTCATGTGTTGTAAATTTAGATAAATAAATTAGATAAATGAATAAGTAGATAAATAAACTTTAATAGAAATAGGTATTTTTCAATGGAATTCAAAATTATTTTTCTTTTCTGAAGCAGGATTGGAAATCAAAGACAAAAGATATAAAAATGAAAGACCAATAGTTGTCTCATTTTAAAAGTCTTCTAGAAAAATAATAGCATCAAACGTGTTTGGAAGAGAGTACATAAAATATAAAATAACATTACAAAAAATCATTACAATCGTACAGAAAATTTAACTATAATTAATATGTAAGCACTGGGGTGAGAAAGAAATATATGGATTTGGGTACTTGCTTTGTATGTGGTAGTTAACGTTAGGATTGTTAGAAACCCAGTACCCCATCTCGCCTCCTGAGCACTGCCAGGAATCCTCCTGGGAGATATTCAGTGGGAAGATCTGATCACTGGTGGGTGTGACCCAAAACAAAGCTGAATAAATAAATAAACAAAAAAATAAGCAAATAAATAAAGTAATGAAAAACATTAAAATGTCTTTTGAACAATAAAAGAAATGCCATGTATTGACAAGAGTAAGGTAACAAGAAGGGTCATAAAGAGGACACAAGAATCCCAAGGCTTTCCTATATACAAATTATAAAAGAAAAGAATGAAATATTATTAAAAAAATCCCATTCATAACTGTGCCTTTGAAAATCAAGTTTCTCAGAACCAGCTTAACGAAAGAAATGAATAACCTATACAAAGAAAACTACAAAACACTACTTCAAGAAATAAAAGAGGATACGAAGAAATGGAGACACATCCCCTGCTCATGAATCAGGAGGTTTAACATTGTCAACATGACAATAATACCCAAATTGTTATACCGATTCAATGTGATCCCTATAAAAATACCCATGACATTTTCAAAAAAGATCAAACACTCCTGAAAATTCATGTGGAATAATAACCCCCCATGAATAGCTAAAGCGATTATTAGGAAAAAGAAGATGGGTGGCAATACCCTCCCCAACTTCAAACTGTACTCCAAAGCGGCAGTAATTAAAACAGCATAGTATTAGGGGGAAAAAAACAGACCTTCAAACCAATGAAATAGGGTTGAATATCCTAACACAGATGCTCAATTTTTTGACCAATTAGTCTTTAATAAAGGAGCAAGAAATGCGAAGTGTAGGAAAGAAAGCCTCTTCAACAAGTGATGTTGGGAAAACTGGACAGCTGCATGCAAAATAGTGAAGTCAGATCTCTAACGTGAGGCATAAAAGTCAGACCAAAGTGGATTAAAGACCTCAAAATCAGACCTGAATCCATAAGGTACAGGAAAACAGGCAAAAACTTCCATAGCGTTGGTGGTGTAAAGTTTAGTGTAGCTAAGTATCAAATCACAAAGTCAACAACGCTAACACACGAGATCCAAACTTCAAAGACCAAACTTGAAAAGGTCCCTGTCAAGGTTACAGATTTGTGGGAATGGTGGTAATGGTAGGTAACCTGGGAAATCTGGTGAGGGAGAACACCGGGGATAGAATTGGTGCTGGAACAATGTGTCTAAAACTCAACTATGAATGACTTTGTGAATCATTGTCTGTAGGATTACACTGTTTTGTCCTTTCTGCATACCTCAGGTAGTTTAGGTGTATTGGGTTGCTCCCATCACAGTGCTCCCATTCCTCTGTGTTTATTTGTAATTTCGTTCTTTATGCTCTGTTGACTTGTAAATATTGTTTTTATCTTCTCCCTATGTCCTTTGCATAGTTTATTCAAAGCAATGTCCTTTTTGTTTGGACACAAGAAGACAGTATATGCTATGCTTTTGTTATGTGATTCTCAGTGATATTTTCCTCCTGGGCATCTGTTCTCTCACTTAAGCCTCAGCTGCCCTTTCTTCCTAGTTCCCCCAAAGCAGGGTCCTGACAAGGGTCTGAATGGAACCAGGGCAAGCGGTAAGCTATGTGCTACCCTGGCATCTAGATGGGCCTGGCCAAAGTGCCATAATGCTTAACTATAAGTTAAGAGGTTGGTCATGGAAAAATGCTGTCATGATCCAAAAAGCAAAAACTAGATTTGGACCTTGCTAGGGTTAGGAAAGTTAATCTGGCCTGAGCAATGCAGTCTGAGTCTGTGGCAAGATGTTCTCAGGAGAGCTGCCCTACAAGCCTCAATGTTATCTCTTACTGGGTTCATACAAAAATAACTAGTATTGAAATATTGATAGAGTTACTGGACCGAGGAAAGGAGAAAAACACCTTAGGAGGTATTTTGCCCTTGGGTAGTTAGCAAGGGCTTTGAAATACCTTTTAGGTGGTGTTCCCCTTGAACTTGGTGGGCCCTCAGAAAGGGCTTTCTTATGTTGATTTTGCTACCTGACTGGGTGCAGTGTCAGCCCAGAGTGCTGGGGAGTTGGAGAGAGAAGAGAGTTGGAGGGAAGAGAGATGAGAGAAAGAGCAGGGCTGTGTGATGGAGTGTGGAGAGACTAGCAAGCGGGGACAGAGAGAGAAGAATGTAGAAGAAGAATACAGGAGCAACCACGTGGAGAGAGAGAGAGCCCAAGCTGCGAGATGGAGCGTAGAGAGAAGAGCAGGAGAGACAGAAGAAGACGGGCATCCACTCTCTCCCTCATATACAATCCAGGATAATGCATTCTCTGTCATCGACACTGGGACAAATAGTTTTGGGTGTTTTATTTCATTTTTTAAAATGCATTTTATTCAATTATTTTTTTTTCAGTTCATGTCTTTCTGAAGTTTATTTCATGCTTACATCCAGATTTTGCATTCTTAGTCAGAATTCTATGCAGGTGTTAAGATCTGAATTTGTCAAGTATATTATGTGAAGATACTAATTTTGACAATATAGTAAATATATCTAATCAATTAGCATATTTTCAATAATTAATAATCCAAAAAACACTGTATTCCAGAGCAAAGTTTTACAACCCAGATCAACAAAATTTTGACTGATATAATATCTCAAGCATGGAGTACTACTATTGTGGTAGTTTTAGATTGTGGAATTTGCTCTGACTGAGATGCTGTAAAAATATTACCAACATTTTATTTTCAGGTTCTAAAGTTAAAAAAGAAATTGCATGTGGAAAGATGGCAGCTGCTTGGGAGCTTTGTGGAAAGCTAGGTATGAGCTGTTCACGGGGGGCGACTAAAACCTCATGGGAAGGGGGGCGTTCCCAGCTCGTCCTTCACACCCTACCAAGGTCACCAGTTGCCCCCCACAAGCAGCTCTCCGGCACGGCCATGGCTCCAGAGTGCAGAAACCAATCTCTTAATTATCTGACTCTCAGCAGAAATACTTCCAAGGTTAATAAGTAAAATAGCAGAAATCCAAAACCATGCGGCCGCGATAGCGGCTGTGCGACATCATTTAATTCTTGAACCCAGCTGTAGAAAGCAAATCATTTCACAATGCCTTTTCAGCATGTCTGATTTGGGGGTGTAAACTCTAAATAATAATGGTGCATCTTTTATCAAAACAATGAATCTAGTCAAAGTAGATAGAGTGTTAACTAGAATTCGTCTGCCTCAAAGGCATTGGGAGGGTTGGGGGGTGGGGGTTTATTCGGGTTCTTCACAGTGAAAAATAAATATTGGTAAAGGGAAATGTGTTTGATATTTGCATGACCGAGACCTAAACCTGAAATCTTTGTAACTTTTCCCACAGTGATTCAATAAATAAATAAATTTTTAAAAAATTGCATGTGCTAGGTAGAAGGGGAAAAATTCAAATGAGAAGTTCATATTTTTAGGAAATAGTTTTTTTAAAATGTTTGAACTTTTATTGATATTACTTCCCCTGAGTACAAGCAATCTCAAGAAAAATACCAAACAAACAGGTGCTTTGTTGGTAGTAGTTGTGGGAGGTGTTGACTCTCCTGCAGCAGAGACAAAGGGGGATGCTGGATGCTTAAGGTCCTATTTTTGTAGCCTGGATCTTAACTTGGAAACAAGTTTTATCTCATTGTCTTACCTGCCTGTCATAGTGGATGCTGATTGCTAAAATCTATGCTTCTTTATGGGAATTATTTTTTCTTCCAGGAGAGGTACACTCAAACAAGTTTATATCCTATCTCACTGTTATTGCATAAAGTTAGGAAAAGCAGCTTTAATTTATTTCTTGCTGACAAACTATTTTAAAAGCTCAGTCCTTCAATTTTGTTTTCTTAAGGGCCAGACCAGCTCGACAGCTCCTCCTGGTACCTGCTAATGCATTGTTTCAAATTCCTCATCCAATAGATTCTGTTTCCATCATTCCCTTACATGTGGTGCTAGTAAAGCATCTTTTCTTCTTCACTACTTGAAGAAACAAATCACTGTCACTGTCACTGTTCTCCTGTTGTTCATCAATTTGCTCAAGCGGGCCCAGTAATGCCTCCATTGTGAGACTTCTTGTTACTGTGTTTGGCATATTGAATACATCACAGGGAGCTTGCCAGGCTTTGCCGTGCGGGCGAGATACTCTCTGTAGCTTGCTGGACTCCCCAAGACAGGCGGAGGAATCAAATCTGGGCCAACCAGGTCGGCAGCGCGAAAGGCAAATGTCCTACCACTGTGCTATCGCTCCAGC